AAATAGAATACGTGTGAACAGTTCTAATTGCTTTTAATGACTCTACTTGCTTGTATGACTACAATAACGTAATAAACGTGTTGACGTTACAAAGGTAACGTTAGTTACAGTCCGTGAAAGAATAGCGGCAAAATACTTGACAGTGGTATGATTGCCAATGAGACCAATTCTCCAAAAAAGACCAAAATGACACAGAAATAAACAACTATAGGTCACCTTGTGGCCTTCAACAATGAGCAAAGCCCATACTGCATAGTCAGCTATAATAGGCCCAGAATAAACAATATAAAACAATTCAAACGAGAAAACCAACATCGTAATCTATGTTTGCTCAGCATTCATCATGAAAACGATCACATTATACATTATTTTAGGAAAGCACTGTAAGCAGACATTACAGGAGGCAACAAGTCTGTCATTGTCTGTAGGCTGACTGTTTATTATCTGAACAAGTTCATTTCTTGTCAACTTCATAATTATTTCAAACATTTTAATAGATGTCACCCAAATTTGGTCTATTTCTATTAGCTTAATATTCTTGCTTTTTCAAAGTCATGTTCATTTATTTTTCAACCACGCCCAGAAATATGCGGTTACCTTTAATTTCAGAAACAGATTTAGGGAAAGGCGACCTGGGTCCCCCTTTCAAAACCTACATTCAATGTTAATGCAGACATTTTACTTGTTCCACACCAAACCTTGTCAAGTTTGGGAACCCCTTCTTTCCATAATTCATCCTACATCTACTTTTGAATGTGTTGCTTATTTGTTCTTTGGTCTATGCATATCTTTTTATATATTGACAACGAAACCACATGTTCATGGTCCCACAAAAATGTTGATAATGTGTACATTTAATTTTTTTTTCTAGCTCCTCTCATATGATAGAAGTACCTTTTTGGTCACTATTCTGTGTTGCGTCTAAATATTAATTGTAACACTTTATAGTGACTGAACAGGTAAAACAAATACTTCTCAAGAAACAGAAAAAGAAGACTACTTGGAACAGCACCAGACTATGTATGAATAAAAACTTAGATCGGAATAGCATGGATGATATATTTATACATCCTTGTGAATAAGCAACTGAGTAAAGCTATTAATAATAGTGCATTTTTTAAAAGTTTATTGGGTTTTTCATTCATATTCTGTTCGAAGTTTCACACAATCTGTCGAAAAGGCAAAACTAACTTTACTGAAACTTTCAAACAATATGAGAAGTGTTTCATTCACCAAAACACTCTTGCAATTCTGCAAAAAAAATCATGCATGATTTTGTGAATGAAAGGGGAAAAAAGATCCTGACACAACGCACCTGTGCATGTCAATTCCGAACTGACCCAATAATTTATATATCACGACCAGTCAACTGATACTGACATTATCAGAGAGTACACATCAAAGGAAAAATGCACACATTACCGATAAATTGTCATATATGATATTATAGAATTAAATATGTTTTATTACAAAAAAATGTGTTCTCAATCTTGTCGATAGATATATCAGAATGTCATATCAGTACCAAAGACAACTCTCCATCCAAGTCACAATTTGTAAAAGTAAACCATTATAGGTTGAAGTACGGTCTTCAACATGAAGCCTTGGTTCACACCAAACAGGAAGCTATATAGTCCTTATCAATCATGACAATAAACATAAACAAATAAACTAACAACTATCGCTTACTAAAAATCCTGACTATATGTATTACATGAACTGGTTGCCATCAGAAATGAAAATATAAATATTCCAAATAACAAAAGCATATGCTTACACATGCAACCAAATATAAAGCACTAAATGCTAATACCAATATGAAGCTCTCATCTATAGAACTTACAAAAAAAATGTCAAGATTACAAACCACAACAAAATATTTAAAATATAAGAAGCCATCTGACAACATGTACATGTTCTAGAAAATTATTTGCAATTAATATTTCATTCCAAATCCATTACCACAAAACATCTTCTTACAGGTCTCAATATACATATCAGTCGACCGGCAAAAATATCTGAACAGCCAGTTATAGTAGTCAGAGCCGGATTTAGAGAGTTTTTCAGGGGACCCCCCCCCCCCCCCCCCATTTTGTGAGAAAACTTTGGTTGATCATATACATAATCCGCAAAAGTAAATAATACTATTTTCTTATCAACTTGATTAGACCCTTGCGAACTATTACATAACTGTCAAGACACAGTATGCATGTTAAAACTACTTGCATTGTCATAAAGAGTAAACAATCATATTCCACAAAACAAAGAAAAAAGTGTTTGTATCGTTACTCTAGCTATTACAAACCATATATATATATATATATATTTATAACCAGTCTAAAAGGGTACAACATCACCAAAAAATGACAATAAACGAACAAATGTAACTATAAATATTTCGGATAACAGATATCCTTCATCAATATGAGCACGATGTAAAATGAATCAGATAAATCTATTCTGATTATTAAACTATAGCAATCTTGAATTCTATACAATAAAAAAAGTGAAACAGTTTCACCCGAACATCATATGTAGAGACGCTAATAAATTTTTTTAATTAGCGTCTCTACATATGATGTTCGGGTGAAACTGTTTCACTTTTTTTTATTGTATAGAATTCAAGATTGCTATAGTTTAATAATCAGAATAGATTTATCTGATTCATTTTACATCGTGCTCATATTGATGAAGGATATCTGTTATCCGAAATATTTATAGTTACATTTGTTCGTTTATTGTCATTTTTTGGTGATGTTGTACCCTTTTAGACTGGTTATATATTATATTTTGTAGTGTACTGTATCATATTTATATGATCCATCGCCCCGTAAGATTTATCGTTAGCTATTATTCAGTCATTATATATATAAAAATAAAATATCTTATCTTATATATATATATGTGACTATAAAGCCTCCTTCCATGATAACCCTGATCCACCAAAACTACTACTAAAATCAAAAACCAGGAGAAAAAAGACACTACATATTTATAGTGCTTGGAGTGCAAGATTCCAATAAAAAAACCTATACCCACAAACCACCGATCTCAATATAAGCAGCTAAAATACGGCAAGCTTTTTAGAAAAGCTATTACTTGTCGTAATACTAGTCAATCTCCTTTATATTATCCTAAATTAAAGCATGGTTCCATAAACCGAAAGTAAATGGATCCCGAGGGGGCTACAAAGAGAAACAATTAACGGGGTCTGTAAACGAAGAGGCAATATCAATAAAAATTTATTTAATCAAAAACTGTCAAATTTCTAGAAATACTACAACCATAATACAGGTTTGCAAGTCAAACGTACCTAAAAATATTGTTAAGTAAAGGAGCCAATGTCTTTGTTTTTTCTCCCTTTCCTGGCGAATCGCCCAGTGTATCTAAAGAATAAACTGGTTTCCGTCTTGTCTTTTTTGTTGGATATCTGTTTCCATCGTGTCAGAATAAATATTCCAAAATATATAGATGTCACTGGATGTTCAATCATTTCCTCCACCTCAAAAAGGTCCTTCTCCATGAGCAAAACATATTTGTCCACGGACCTCACCGGCACAATCAACACTTGAGCCAATCAATCAATGGATCTTTTTCATGTTGCTTGGTAAGGAAGAATAACTTCACAAATGGTTTTAAAAAATGTTTCCTTCTTACCGCAAAGTTAAAATCCTTTGAAACTGCACGTCCCATTTCTTTTTCTATTTCCCTCACTGAATTTTATATTTACGGGGAGGGATTACTGAATCGTTATTATCACAGCCGCCTGAAGATTTCATAATTATAGCGAAAAAATGGTGGAGATAAAATATTTTTAGTAGTACTATATATAGAATAATAGAGAAGTTGTGAAATGCGTTTTTTGCGCCAAAATTATTCTATATAATACTACTAAAAATATTTTATTTCCACCATTTTTTCGCTGTAATTATGAAATCTTCAGGCGACTGTGTTATTATTCAATAACACATTAATCTCTTTCGGATCTGTAAACCCCAATGAAAATCTCAGGGCAACGGCAATTCATTCACATGTTCACGTATCAGAAATACAAATCTCTCAAAAAACTTTTTCTCCCGGTGTTCTCATTTTCTGAAATAGAATCGTTCTGTGCAAATAATGCATAGCATAGTAACTGTCGCAAGTTGATTGACATATCTCATTGATGAAAACAGAGACATTATATGTCTCTGATGAAAAGCACAGTTAAGTTTCATTGGTCATCATTTAACTTTTGACATGTGTCATCCCTATTAATACTACAAATCTTTTATAGCCACTCCTTACTCATTAACATATTTAATGTACTCAAAGATACGCTTGCTGTGCATTAAATACGTTAATTCGAAAAAAGCGTGCTATCTACAACTTGAAGTATAGGGCCTAAGGAAAATATTATAAAACTTTAAAAGAAAATGCTTCTTTCAATGCTGCAAATATATGCGAAGAAAGACACAAGATAACAACATCCTTTTAAAAACATCAACCACTGAACAACGAATTAAGACTACAAAAGGTGCAAATGTAAAAAAATTGAGAACCCCTGATTTCACGCCGGCCTAGAAGTATGGCAAGCCGTTTTACTATTTGTTCTAACTTCAAGATATCTAATAAACTTTATAAGATATCTCATACAGTTAATAAGATATCTTATATAGTTTATAAGATATCTTATATAGTTTATAAGATATCTCATATAGTTTATAAGATATCTCATATAATTTATAATATATCTCATAAAATTTTCTTCATGTTATGGTGGTGCTCATAAGGAAGGAGGAAGAAACAGAACATACATACACATTGGATAAAAGACTAAAAACCTAAAAGTGAAGTTTCTTTCAGTTCTGTAATTTGTCTGTTTTTACTGAAAAATTCGAACACATTGAGATTGTATAACATCGAACTAATTTCGCATGGTACAGCGGTGAAAAGATAATATTACTGCTGACTGAGTATAATAAAGTGACCGCATGTGTTTTGTGACGTTGGTCTTAAGTTAAATCTCAAGAAAATAACGCCACCTGCAGACGACCCATTTCGAGATTTTTTTTGGAATAGATGAGAAACTGGTTTATGCGTTTGCTTTTACCGCTTTAAAGTTGGCAACATTTGTGTGGCAACTTTATTGTCAGTGACGGAACAAATTAAAATTTCTAGTATAACTGAATCTTCAAAGCAGAAACGTTTGGCTATTCCGTTTTGTTTGGAACTGTGGCATTGTTATGCATGATTTGTAATGTTTACATTGTTTACATTTGTGTTAGTCAGTGTCAATAACTTGGGTGTTGTCCACATGTAAACGCTACTGAAAACAAATAATTGACAAACGGACTATACATATAAAATATAAATTATTATGGACCAGTCCAGACCCCCGCCGATTGGGTTTGAGCTTCAGGGTTCAGATTCAGGTATGTTTTTATTTATTTTAAACAGTTACTTGTTAGAAAGATATCTTGCAAAGATTTCCATGTACCATTTAATCTAATTATAATATTATAGTTATCCCAAAGACAATAAAAGAGAATACAGTTTTTATGGTTCATTAAGGGAGCTACAATTTGATTTTTATGGGGGGGCTAGGATGAAAAATTTTGTCCTGCCTTTTTATTTTTCCCTCTATTCGGTCCTGCCCTTTTATTTTTCACTCTATTCGGTCCTGCCTTTTTTTTTTTAGTTTATCCTGACTTTTTTTACATAAATTGTCATCCTGCCTTTTTTTTGGGCAAACAATCTCATTCTGCCTTTTTTTTACTCAAAACTGTCCTGCCTATTTTTTCAAATTTCATCCTAGCCCCCTCATAAAAATCAAATGGTAGCTCCCTAGCTAAGTCACTTCTTAATTACATTCAAGGGATAATTTCGGTCTGTTCTGAGACTACTATAACAAGTCTCAGGTCTGTTACAATATGATTTAAGGTTCATCATAACCTTTTGGCTAATATGGCCGTATTTACATTACAAATTTTACTCCAATTACAGACAAACCTGTACACCTGGAAAAGTTTTAAGGCATGGCAGGAACTAGGGAATTAAATTTTAATTACATTTTATGTTTCAGAAAATTATAAACTTTTCTGGATTTTGCTATTCAATTTTTTTATCATTCCTGCAGAAGGTGCCAAAATAAACTTAGTTGGGAAAGAGGTTTGAGAAACTCCCCTCATATAATACATATTGTGAGTAGTATTGATTTAAATGGACAATAGATGGACAATAGACATCTGCAAACAATAGGTGATTTAAACTGTGTAACTGAGTGGACCCTATCAAATGAAACTCATGTGTTAGTTTATCAGTCAGGGGACTTACTTAAATGAGTGATTTTCTAAATCACTGATTCAAGTAACATTATGTCCATAAAGGTTGGAAGTAAGAGTTGTCTTTCTTTAACTAATCACCTATTTAAGTAGTACAAACTAATCACTAGACTAAGTGATTTAATTTGATTGTAGCTTTAAATATAGAATACTAATGATCCAGGGACTAATTATGTTGCTAAAATTATCAGAACCAACATCTGTGTTGATAGGATGACCAGGTCATGTCAGGTGATGACCTTGTACTGAATCTAGGATAATGACATAAAAATCACTTGTTTAAGTATCATACCTCAATTTCCTTCCAAAAAATCACTTCCTTAAGTATCATTATTATAATAACCCCCACTAATTTCAACACCCCCCCCCCCCCCCCCCCCCCCCCCGAACAGTGAAATTTTGATCACGAGCAGCAGAATTTTATTACATAATTTGTAAGATGAAACCTTAAATTTTACAGGAAAAATACTCCCACTGCTGGGAAAAATCTGTTAAGGGCAAAGTCAAAATAAATGGTTCCTTGCATATAAAGCAATATTTATAAATCATGCTGATCATTTGATTGAATAAATTAATTTCAAATGATGTGGCTTGATGTGTAGAATAATCCTGCAAAATATCTTTGGAAAATCTGAAGTATTGAAAAAATGACGTTAAAAAAAGATGCCAAAATTGTCAGGAGTGCAACACTTTTTTGTGACATTTTGAAAAAATACTTTTTTATTAAGACACAGCAAATTGTTGTATGGAGGAATGTGCCTTAAATTCTTATTTATATTACAACTATTATATCTTAGTGATGATTTCAGCTCAGAATGAAGCTTTTCCATTGAACCGTTTTGATACAGAAGTGTTTTGAAAAAAAGTTGTGCCATGTCAGGAGTGCAACACAAAAATTAGTATTACTGAGGAATAGAATGATTTTTGCTTAAATGGCTCACACCTAAACATAAACAAAAGTCAATCCTGTAAAACAAATATGTCCTTTCCAGAATAAATAGTTCATTTACCTGATTATTGATATAAATAATGTGTGAGAGTCAAGTATATAAGCCTCCCTGTAAGTGTCAGGAGTGCAACTTTGAAGTTTAAAGACTCACACTGAAAAAATACAAAAGCCATTATATGGTTCTGTTTTATTTTTCAAAAGATACTATACTACATACAAGATTGCACCCAAAGAGTAGCCTGATAGACGAGGAATTATTCTTTTAGAACCATTTATTTGATGTCAGGAGTGCAACAGTTTTAAAATGACATTTTCTTGGACTTACATTTTAAGATAATCTCAGCTCCTAGTGACTTATTTGCATCTAAACATGTTTTCTAACTATTTAGGTTACATGTATGCGTTAAAATAAATTCTTAAAGGTAAATTTCAAAGCAAGACTTTGATCCAAGAATTATTGTTTGTCACAAGCAAAAATATTTGAATGTTAAATTTTCATATTATTTTCAAATTATGGAAGCTAATTGTCTTAAACTTTGTCTTTTGATTAGGAAATAACCATATTTCAATTTAAAAGTTTGATAATGGTTTCACGTAATACTAATTAAACTATTATAATTGTTATAACAAACAATTAATTTTGTTGCACTCCTGACATGAATTATCCATAACAAGCCGTTTTGCACATTTTGAGTTCAACTTTAAGACCCAACCTTTGAATGAATGAAAGATGGGAAAGATGGTTGTGAAACTAAACTTTAGAATAAAATCAGACAGGCTAAGTGCATACAGACACACCATCATAGTCAACAACAACTTCAACTTTGAGGAGTAGAAAATTGAGAAAAACACTGAAATAAGATCCAAATCTGAAGGACAAACTAGACAAATATAAACAAAGAAAGAACAAAGAAAACAAAACAATGTAAAAGAAAAATTAAAAAGACTTAGACCAGAATTAAAACACATATGAGAAAATGAAAACAAAACAGAGACAGTGACAACAGAAGAGAAGAAGAAAATTTACACAAGCTAAAAAAAGTTGCAAACCAGCAGAAAATTGTCCAGTCAAGTAGAGTAGCAAAAGTACAGATGCATATACAATACCTAGAGAATCAGAAAGAGAAGTCAAAGAATAAGACATTATCTTCCTGACCATCCCAAATCTTGGGCTTAAACAATTGGGCACATCATATCCACAGCTACACCAAGGTGGTTGTCAGAGTAAATGAGAACTGATATCAGCTGTGTGCAAGAAATTGATGAGTCTTGAACATGTTGAAGTATAACCAAAGTTGAGGAACCCCCAAAAGATCTGAAAACTGTTGAAAAGAAAATGGCATTTTCAAAGAGTCCCTTAGTTCTAACTTTTTCAGGTAGCCTCTATTCTTTTCAAAAATGGCAGTTTCTTTTCAACAGTTTCCAGATCTATTAAGGGTCTCTCAATTTTGTTTCCACTTCGGCACCCATCAATTTCTAGCACACTTCCATCAGTACTGATTAGTTCTTACAACTGCCTTGGTGTAGCTGTGGATATGATGTATTCAATTGTTTTAGGGCAAGGTTTGGGTTGGTCAGGGAGAATGTTCCCTATACTTTGTCTTCTCTTTCTGATTTCTCTAGATATTGTATCTGCACCTGTACTTTTGCTTCTCGACTGTACATTTTTCTGTGGGTTTGCAACTTTTTTGGCTTGTGTCAATTTTCTTCTTCTTTTCTGTTGCAAATTTCTTTGTTTTGTTTTTTTCATTTTCTCCATCTGTGTTTTTGTAATCAGGTTAAGTCTTTGTAATTAAGTTTTACATTGTTTTGTTTTCTTTGTTCTTTCTTTGCTTATATTTGTCTAGTGTGTCCTTTAGGTGGATCTTCTTTCAGATTTTTCTCAATTTTCTGCTCATCAAAGTTATAGTCGATGTTGACATTTGATGGTGTGTTTTGATCCCTTAGTCTGTCTGATTTTCTTCTCAAGTTATTTCAGTATGATCAAATATCTTTCCCATCTTTCATTCATTCAAAGGTTGGATCTGCAAGATGAACTCCAAATGTGTGAGACTTTAATAAAATAAAAATATTGAATCTGTGCAAAACTGCTTGTTATGGTAAATTCATGTCAGGAGTTCAACAAAATTAATTGTTTTGTTATTACAGTTATAATAATTTAATTAGTATTACATGAACCCATTATAAAACTTTTAAATTGAAATATGGTTATTTCCTAATCAAACGACACAGTTTATGACAATTAGCTTCCTAAATTCTAAAATTATATAAAAAATCATCATTCAGATATAATTGCTTGTGACAAACAATATTTTTTGGATCGAAGTCCTGCTTTGAAATTCACTTTTAAGAATATATCATACATGTAGCCTAAATAGTAAGAACACATATTTGAAGGCAAATAAGTCATAAGGAGCTGAGATTATCTTAAAATGTAAGTCCAAGAAAATAACTTTTTAAAACTGTTGTACTCCTGACATCAAATATATGGTTCTAAAAAAAAATCCTTGTCTATCAGGCTACTCTTTGGGTGCAATCTTGTATCTAGTATAGTATCTTTTGAAAAATAAAAGAGAACAATATATTGGCTTTTGTATTTATTAAGTGTGAGTTGTTTAACTTCAAAGTTGCACTCCTGACACTTATAGGGAGGCCTTATTTACTTGACCATCACACATTTATATCAATAATCAGGTTAATAAAGTATTTATTCTGGAAAGGACATATTTGTTTTACAGGGTTGACTTTTGTTTATGTTTAGGTGTGATTCATATATTCAAACATCATTCTATTCCACAGCTGTACTAAGTATTGTGTTGCACTCCTGACAGGGCAATACTTTTTTTTCAAAACATATCTGTATCAAAACGGTTTAATGGACAAACTTCATTTGTAACTAAATCCATCACTAAGACATAATAGTTGTAATATAAATAAGAACCTATGGGACATATCATCATATTACAAGTTGCTGTGTCTTTATAAAAAAAGTATTTTTTCAAAATGTCACAAAAAAGTGTTGCACTCCTGACAATTTTTGCTTCTTTTTTTATCGTCAGTTTTTTAATACTTGAGATTTTCCAAAGATATTTTGCAGGATTATTCTACACATCAAGCCACAAAATTCGGCCCATTTTAACAT